TACCTTGAGACCAGGCAATGACCCTGGGCTATACCCAGGCAGGCTCCTGTAATCACAAGTGTCCTTACAAATGGAAGAGGGAGGCAGGAGGGCCAAGAGTGATGCAGAGTGAGAAAGACTTGACTGGCTGCTGCTGGTGTGAAGATGGAAGGAAACCAAGGAATGTGGGAGGCTCTAGAAGCTGGAAAATGCAAGAAATGCATTCTCCCTTAGAGGCTCCAGAAAGGAATGCAGCCCTGACAACACCCAGATGTCAGCCTACTGAGACCTACTTTAGAATTCTAGCCTCCAGAACTGTAAGAGGATAAATGTGCATTGTTTTAAGCCACTCAGTTCATGGTAGTTTGTTACAGCAGCAGTCAAAATCTAATGCGTGTGGCATGGATAGACGGCATCTTGTTTATCCGTCTAGCTGCTGACAGACATGTGCGTTGTTTCTAGTTCTTGGCTGTTAGAAATAACTTTGGTGTGAACATTCCTGTGGTTTTTTTTGTACACTGTCTCTAAGACAGCCACTCTTTCTTCTAGGGGTGAAACAGACTGCTCATTTGCTGTTGTAATATATTTTTTATAGAGACTTCATTTTTTAGAGCAGTTTTAGAGTCACAGCAAGATTGAGCAGAAGGCATAGAGTCCCCTACACCCCCTGCCCCCACACTCGCACAGCCTCCCCCACAGAAGTGAGAGTGTGCATTTGTTACAGTCAATGAGCCTACGTTGACACATCGTTGTCACCCGGAGTCCACAGTTTACATGAGGTGGTTCACTCTTGGTGGTGTACATTCTGTGGGTTTGGAAGAATGTATAGTGACGTGTATCCACCAATACAGTATCATACAGAGTAGTTTCACTGCCCTACAACTTCCCTGTGCTCTGCCTGTTCATCCCTCTCTCCCCCCAACTCTTGGCAACAGTTGGTCCTTTTACTGTCCCCATAGTTCTGCCTTTTCCAGTGTCATATAGTTAGAATCATACAGTGTGTAACATGTTCAGATTGGCTTCTTTCACTTAGTATTATGTACTTAATATTCCTTCATGTCTTCTTATGGCTTGACAGCTCATATCCCTCTAGCACTGAGTAATATTCCATTGTATGGATGTATCACAGTATTCACCTGCAGAAGGACATCTTGGTTTCTTTCAAATTTTGGCAATTATGATCAAAGCTGCTATAATCATCTGTGTGCAGGTTTTTGTATGGACGTAGGTTTTCAACTCATTTGGGTAAATTCCAAAGAGCATGATTGCTGGGTCATATGATAAGACAATGTTTCAGTTTTGTAAGAAACTGCCAAATAGTCCTCCAAAGTGACTACCACTTTGCATTCCCACCAGCAATGAATGTGAGTTACTGTTGCTCCAAATCCAAATCATCAGCATTTGGTGGTGTCAATGTTTTGGATTTTGGCCATTCTAATAGATGCATAGTGGTATGTTATTGTTTTAATTTGCAATTTTCTGATATATGATGTTGAAATGCTTTCATATGCTTATTTGGCATATCTATATATCTTCTTTGGTGAGGTGTCTGTTAAGGTCTTTGGCCCATTTTTAATTAGGTTGTTTGGTTTTTTATTAAGTTTTAAGAGTTCTTTGTATATTTTGGATTAACAATCCCTTATCAGATATGTCTTTTGCAAATATTTTCTCCCAGTCTGTGGCTTGTCTTTTCATTCTCTTGACAGTGTCTTTTGCAGAGCAGAAATTTTTGATTTTAGAGAAATCCAGCTTATCAATTATTTTTTTCATGGATCATGCCTTTGGTGTTGTACCAAAAAAGTAATTACCACACCAAAGGTCATCTAGATTTTTCTCCTGTGTAATCTTCTAGGAGTTTTATAGTTTTGCATTTTATGTGTAGGCCTGTAATCCATTTTGAGGTAATTTTTGTGATGGGTGTAAGGTCTGTGTCTAGATTCAGTTTTTGGAATGTGGATGTCCAGTTGTTCCAGCACCATTGGCTGAAAAGTCTATCTTTTCTCCATTGTATTGCCTTTGTTCCTTTGCCAAAGATAGTTGACTGTACCTGTGTGGGTCTATTACTGAGCTCTCTATTCTTTTCCATTGATCTGTTTGACTGTTCTTTCACCAATTCCACACCGTCTTTGTTACTAGAGATTTGAAGTTTACTAAGTCTTGAAGTGGGATAGCATCAGTCCTCCAACTTTTTTTTTTGTTCTTCTTCACTGGTGTGTTGGCTATTCTGGGTCTTTTGCTTCTCCATATAAACTTTAGAATCATTTGTCAATACCCACAAAATAACTTGCTTGGATTTTGATTGATATCTTCACAATATTGACTCTTCCTATCCATAAACGTGGAATATCTCTGCACTTATTTAGCTCTTCTTTTATTTCATTAAAATTTTATAGTTTTCCTCATATATATGTTGTACATATTTTGTTAGATTTATACCTAAATACTTCATTTTTGGGGTGCTAATGTAAATGGTATTGTGTGTTTAATTTCAAATTCCACTTGTTCATTGCTGGTATATAGGAAGATGATTGACTTTGTATATTAATTTTGTATTCTTCAGTCTTGCTATAATCACTTCTTAGTTCTAAGAGTTTTTTGTTGATTGTTTCAAATTTTCTACATAGACAATCATGTCACCTGTGAACAAAGCTAGCCTACATAGACAATCATGTCATCTGTGAACAAAGCTAGTTTTATTTCTTGCTTCCTGATCTGTATGCATTTTATTTCCTTTTCTTGCCTTATTGCATTAGCTAGGACTTCCAGTGTAATGCTGAAAAGGAGTGGCAAGAGGGGACATCCATGTTGTGTTCCTGATCTCCATGGGAAAGCTTCTAGTTTTTTACCATTAAGTATGATGTTAGCTGTCGCTTTTTCTGTAGATGTTCTTTACCAAGTTGAGTAAATTCTCTTTTTTCCTAGCTTGCTGAGAGTTTTATGATGAGTGGGTGTTGAATTTTGTTCAATGCTTTTTATTGCATAAATCATATGATTTTTTTTTTCTTTAGCCTGTTGACATAACTGATTACATTAACTAATTTCCTAATGTTGAACCAGCCTTGAATACCTGGGATAAATTCCACTTGATTGTAGTGTATAATTCTTTTTATATATTGTTGGATTTAATTTTGCTAACATTTTGTTGAGGATTTTTGCATTTATGTTGATGAGAGATGTTGGTCTGTATTTTTCCTTTCCTGTAATGTCTGGTTTTGGTATTAGGGTCATGTTGGCCTCATAAAATGAGTTAGAAAGTATTCCCTCTGCTATCTTCTGAAAGAGATTGTAGAGAATTGGTGTAACTTCCTCCTTAAATGTTTTATAGAATTCACCAGTAAACACATCCAGGCTGGTGCTTTCTGTTTTGCAGGGTTATTATTGATTCAATTTTTAAATAGATATAGGCCTATTCAGATTTTCTATTGGTTTTATATTTTTTTAAACTGCATTTTGATTTTTGCTGAGAAAAAGGGGTTGAGTTCATGGGAGTTAAATGCACAAGGGCTGTGACTCTCCTGGAAACTGTTGTGCTCATGGGGACGGCTTGGCTATCAGAGTGGCTTTGTTGGCTGAAGACAAGATGCTGGATGTCACCTCCAGCATTCTGCTCTAAGGTAGGGGTGTGTGTTCATGCATGTGTTGGGGGAGGGGCCTGTCCTCACATCAGGTTCTCTGGAAATCGAGGAGGCTTCCTACCTCTCCCAAGCTCATCTCTCTGTGTGTCTGTGCCACCTCCTAGCTTTCCAGGGAACACAGTCTTGCCTGAGAACTGGTGGTTTCACATCATTCTGGAGACTCCCAGCCATGCTGGCTGATGGAACCTAACACGACTGTCCATGGGACGCTGCAGCTTCGGCTGGCTCCCACCTCTGAGCCTCTGCAGTTACTGTTCCCTCTGTCTGGAGCCCTCCCCCAGGTCTCCCTGTGGCTGGCTTTCTACCCATCCCTCAGGAAGTTCCTGGATCACATGGTGCTTCCTCCTGGAAGCCTTCCCGGGCCCCTCCCATCTGATGTCGCCCTTTCTCAGTTCCTGCACTTTATCTTCCTTCTAGCTTATGTCAGTATCTACAAGTGAAATCTGCAGGCCTGTTTGTTGTGTCTGCTGCTGTTGAAAGTCAGCTCCATGAGCACAGGGCTCAAACCACGCCTGACCCAGAATGGATGCTCAGTGTTTGGGGAGGGGGCAATGACCTCCTGCCCTGCCCAGCCCAGTCCTCCTGCAGAGGGGGACTGAATATGGCTGGTGGCCACACCCAGCAAGAGGGACCATAAGAGCCTCAGCTGGGCTCCAGGTGAGAGCTGGGCAGCCACCCACCTTCACCTGCTGCCCCTCTGGCTGGACCCCGGGGGCCTTGGCCATCTTGCCATCCTGAACAAGCCCAGACACCTCCCTCCTCCAGCCCTTTCTGACTCCTGCTGCACTGTTCCAGTCCTCTCCTTGGAGGCCCCAGCCTGTGGGTAGCACTGACCCTGGCACGTCCTCCTGCCCCTACAGTGCTGCTAAGCAAGGGAGGGGGCTGTGCTTCACAGCAGCCTGGATCTTAGCTCCGGCCCCCCTTAGCTCTGTGTGGTGAACAGCTGGCACTTCCTCAGTGGCCTATGAAATGTTATGAAGATGCAGGTTTCAGCCTCTTCCAAGCTCTGCCAGGGAACCTGGGGTCAGGGTCACTGTGGATCCCCAACCCACCCCTGCAGGACCTCCAGGCCTCCAAGGAGCCTGGCCTCGCAGACACACCTGGCTGGGAGGTCCGTGGAGACTCCTAGCTCTGGCCACAGGCTGCTCCGGGGTGGAGATGGGACAGCCTCTGGCTCCTCAGCCCTACCCCACCTGAGCTCCCCTGCCCACAGGGGCCTGCAAAGGGAGGTTCAAATGGTGCTTTCTAGAAAACCAGGGCCAGGCCAGGGCCAGGGCCATGGTCAAGGTGGGAAGTCACACAGCCCAAGTCCCAGTGCTGTGGGGGTCCCAGGATGACAGCCAGTGGGGGGGCCTGGGCCCCCCCCCCCACCAGCGTGGGACCTACATGCGGATCTGGGTGTTTTTCAGGCTGAGGTTCAGCTCTTCCAAGGTCTCCTCCATCTCCTGGGTGTTCTGGATCAGTGACAGGTTCTGCTCCTCCAGCTGCGTGAAGACTTCCAGGAGCTGCTGGGGCTCGGTGAAGTACAGCTGTAGCTCCTACAGCCCAACGGGACGGGACGGCGGGGTGTGGGCAGGGGCAGTCAAGAGGCTGGACAGGGGAGGGGTGAGGGGAGAGCAAGGAGGGGGGCAGGGAGGGCCAGGTGGACCCGGTAGCGGAGCCAGCTGGAGAGGGCAGCTCCGGCAGCCCAGCCCACTGCCCAATCACTGACCTCCCCGTCACTGTCAGGGTCTTCTTGCGCAGGCAGGAGAGCAGAGCTGGACCTGCGAAGAGACGGCGCATCAGGGCTCCCAGGGCCAGCCTGGGCAGGATGAGAGCAGGCACAGAGGTTGCAGGCATCTCCCCAATCCCTCCTCTCCTGTGCCCACTCCACACGCTGCCTTGAAGGTGGCACCAGGGTCCTCATGGTCCACCCAGCTGTCACAAAGCAGGGGATAGTTTCAAAATTCAGTCAGCTCACCTCCAGTTAGAATAAAACTGGCCTCCTCTCTGGCCTGTGGGGGTGTGGCCCTCGCCTCCTGCAGGCCACCCCCGGGGTGCTCAGCTGCTGCCCTGTGCGCTCCTTCCGCGCTCTCTAGGTGCTGACCCTACGTCACGGCCTTCACACCTGCTGCTCCCACGCCAGGGCTGCCCCGCCCCGCTGACTCCATAGCCCAGCTCACCGCTGCCATAGGACACTCAGACCTTCTCTAAGTGACCCTGAGCAGCACCTGACAGAGGGGTGCCAAAAAGGCTGCATGGGCTTTGAGCGCTCAGTTTGGGGTCCTGGAAGACCCTACCTCCACTGACTTCCAAACCCACTTTCATTGGTTCCCAGCAGGCCTCCAACCCAGGGGTGGGTGGGGCTGACCCACCACCAGGCACCCCAGGAACCTAGGCTGGTGCCTTGGAGACACCAGGCCCTGACCCCCATGAAGTGGAGAGGCACGGGTGCAAGGCCCTGTGGGAGACCTGACAGGGCACCCAAGAGGGGCTGTGACCATGACAACATCACTCACCAGGCTGGGGCCTCACACTGCACACTTGTGGGTCCACATTTCACAAGTGACGAATGAGAGCCAGCCACCTGCCCAATGTCACCTGCAAGGCACTGCTGGCCCATAAATGCCTTTGAGACTCCACCCTCCAGATGGATGCAGCTTGGGCAGAGGCACCTGGCCTGGTGATTGGGGAATGGGCTGGACTTCAAGCCCCATTTGCCCTCTCTGCTGAGTGACCTGTGTGGCTTACAACCTGCGCAGCTGTACTCAGCAGCCCTGGTCACCTGGCTTATAGATGGAGGGGCCAGGATTCAAACCCAGGACAGCATTGAGTCCAGACCTCTGCTCTCAGTGATTCTGCCAATGCATGGCCCACGCAATGGTGGGAGCTCCAAGGCTGAGGGGCAGCGCTGCACTGATGGTGGCCAGTCTTCTTGGCAAGGTAAGGCCATGATGTGTAAAGAGGAAAACGAGCTTGGAAATTAGAATGTTTGGGTCCTCTTCCAGCTCAAGAAGCATCAGGTTGGAACATGGGAAGGTCGGGAACAATTGTGAAATTAAGTTTGGCCTAAAAGTTCTTTAGACATGGTGAACTGAAACTAACTGGACGTGCAAGCAGACTGTAACTTACTCTTGTAACAAGTAGCTGAGTCTCAACCACTCACAGGCAGCCAGCTGTTCAAACTGTGTTCAAGTAAGACAAATGCCCAACTGTCACCGGTCCAGCTGTTTCTGTCCCTCACTTCTGTTTTCTGTATCTCACTTTCTCTTTTCTTTCTATTAATCTTAGCTGACCATGCTACTCTGAGCTTAGTCTGGTTCTGGCAGCTGTCTGATTCACTAATGATTCTTTGCTCAATTAAACTCTGTTAAATTTGTCTAAAGTTTTTATTTTAACATGCCCATAGGGGTGTGGAGCTCAGGAAGAGGTGGGGGACAGAGCCACAGGAACGGTCCAGGCAGTTGAAGAGAAGGGCTGACAGAGGGTGGAACATGAAAGGGGTAAGGTGCCAGCAGGTGGGGGGAGGACGCAGGAGAGACCCTCCCCCACCACCCCCAGCCCTTAACAAGCTGGGAAACCATACAGATTCCAGGAGAAAACCCAGGAGAATATTTTAGTGCCTTTGGGGTTGGCAACAATTTCTTTTTTAAATTTTTAGAAGTTTTTAATTGATACACAATAATTATACATATTTTGGGGTACAGAGTAATGTTTTGATACATGTATACAATGTGTGATGTTCAAACCAGGCTGATTAGCATATTCATCACCACAAACATTTGTCATTCCTTTGTGATGAAACATTTGAACTCCTCTCTTCTAGCCATTTGAAAACATACAATAAGTTACTGTTAATTATCGATACTTAGCACTACTATTGAATAGTAGAACCTATTTTTCCGACCTAGATATAATTCTGTGTCCATTAATCAACCTCTCAACAATTTCTTCAGCACAGCACAAAATGCACCAATCATGAAGGAAGAGGTTGGTAAACTGGACCTCATTAAAGTGAAGAGTCCCTGTTCCTCAAAAGACAGTTATTAAAAGAGCAACAAGAAGATGTCTGTACTACACTCATCACAGAAGGCTGCACCCGGAATACACAGAACTAGCAGAGAACCACAAGAAACAGGCCAACAAAAATGTATGGAAATTGGATACTTCACAGGGTGGATATCTGAATGGCTAACAAATATGGAATGTGCTCATATTATCTGGAAAATGTCATTAAAACCACAGGAGACACCACTCCACCCTGTAGTAATCCTGTCTTGCATTTCCTGTGTTCTGACGTCAGTCCGTTCCTACGGATAGCAGAGGAGCCAGCCCGGAGCACCTTTCAAATGCAAACCAACCTATCTAGTGTCCACACCAACCACCTCCTCTGTGGGCCTCTCACACTGTGCACCACTGTCTTCCTGCTCCAACCACCCCAGAGCCCAGGAACAGACAACGGGGACAGCCCTGTACCCCAGGGCCCTGAAATTATGAATCAGTCCTAAGCATGCTTGTCCCACCTCCTGTGTCCCTCCACTGGAAACCACACTAAAGGCTCTTGTCCACAGTTCTCCTCGACCTGCGCTCACCCGTGTGGCCTGTGTGGCTGCTGTGCCCTTCTCTTGGGAGCTGTGACACATGTCCTCTCAGTGGCAGTTGTCTCCGTTCTCTTGGCCTTACTATTCCTGGGTACCACCAGGGAGCACTTCCCACCAGGCCAAGCCCCTCCGGCCGCCCAGGCCCACTCACCGCTGAGATTCCAGAATGCTGGGCTGGCTGCCCTGGCTGCTGTAGTGAGAGATGCTCATGCTGGACAGGATGTGCCCCACCCGGAGCGCCTGCAGAAGCTTCGCGGGCTTCTTTGTGCCCTGGTCCTCTGGAGGAAGCAGATGAACAGTTTCCGAGTGCCTGGTCTGGGGTGCGGGGCCCCCTCCAACCTGCGACAGGCAGATACCTCTGGCCCATGGGGAGCCCATCTTGCCCTTGATCGCTGGTCCTGCAGGAAGCAAAGCATGAGTCCCAGAAGGCCTCTGCTGGAACCAAGCTTCGGGCGATGCTACTCACCTCCTCAGCCTCAGCAGGAGGGAGGTGCTTGGGAGGAAAGCCCCTGGGTTTGAGCTGAGAGCTGGCCCCGTACCCCAAGTGAACCCTTGGCTGAGCCATGTGGGTGGCTAACGGGCATCTACTGCCCTGTGCAGAGCCCAGCTGGGCCGTGAAAGGTATGGAAGGGGCCAGCCTGTGGCCCGAGGCCTGCAGGGCCCCTGACAGCTGGGCATGGGATCTCAGAAGGCCACTGGCAAAGCCTGCCCTTGGGACCTGCATCCCCTTTTCTGCTACCTTTGTCCCCTGACATGGAGGAAATACTGCTTTTTTTGCGAGCCCTGGAAACCTCCTTGGCCTTTCTAAGAGCCAAGCGCTTCTTCTCTTGTTCTTCAAACCACTCCTTGGGTGACACCTTGTACAGGAAATCCTTGTAGATCTTGTAATGCTGCAGTGTGTCTTCAAATTTGGAGATATCACTAGGCCCGGCAAGGAGAAGGTGGAGTCAGGCTCCACCATGACAAGGCCCCCAGCTGGCCCCTCCCTCCACCCTGGCCAACCCTGGGTGGGCTCCTCGTTCTTCTGGAGAACAGGCACAGGAGTGCCATGTGCCGGGTTCAAGTGCCCATCCTGCTGGGACCAGAGTTACAGCCTGCAACTTGCAGGTTCCTCTTTACCCTGGACACTCTGTCCACCCCCATCTCAGGCTGGAGCCCAGCGAGCCTTTGAGCCACACCAGCTCTGCCTCTCGGTGACGTGGCCTCTGAGCAAGTCACTGACTCCCTCTTGGCTTCAGTATCCCCCTTTCTGTAAAATGGGCAACAGCCTCTGAGGGACCTTTGAGTCCCTTTAAGTGCCTGGGAGGTAAAGCAATGAGGTTTTCATGGTGCTAGGCTCCCTGTGGCTACCTGTAAAGTGACAGAGACAAGGGGATGTGGCCACATGCCCTCTGGCCTCACCTTTTTTTTTTTTCTTTTTTGGCAGTTGGCCGCTACAGGGATCCGAACTCTTGACCTTGGAGTTATAACACCAAGTTCTAACCAAGTGAACTAACCAGCCAGCCCTGACCTCACCTTTTGATATTCATGATCTGGACAGTGAGGTCCCGGATCTCAATAATCTTCTCCATCCTGGCTTTGGTCTCCTTCTCAGCCCTGGTGGGGAGGGGGCGGGGGCCAATCAGAGACTGTTAAAGAGGAGCATGCCCACTGCACTCTGGCCAGGGGCTGGGTGAGGCTCCAACTACCTCGGGGGCAGGTCCCTAGTCCCCCCTCCCCACCTCCTCCGGGGGAGCTGTGGGAGCTGGGTGGGACCTGGCCAAGGTGTGGGCAGGAGGGTCGGTGTGCACTGGGGACACTGGGGCCTGCAGCCTCACGCTGTCATGGCCTGCACGGAGCTGTGGTCATTCTCCCTGAGGAACTTGTCAAACAAGGCAGAGTCCCTCTCCAGGGACTTCTCGGCTCGCTCCAGCCTGGCCTCCTCCTCAGTGGCCAGCACCTCCAGCCGATGGACCTCACTCCGCTTCATCTCCAGGGCATACTGAGGGCAGCAGAGTGGCAGTCACGGTGCTTGGCCCAGGCCAGATCCCCAGCGGGCGTCCCTCACGTGGGGTGTGGCTGGGCCTACCTGGATGAGGAACATCTGTCGCTTCTGCTCGATGTAGCTGCTCATGCTGTCTGGCTCCACCTTCTTTTCTGCAGCGGGAGGAGGGAGGCAAGTGGGGCTAGAGGCCCAGGCCCATGGCCGAGCACAGGTACTTGAGCCTGCAGAGGAGCCCGTGCTCTGCTGCGTGCGACGCCCAGGTTATCACAGGGACACTGGGGCAGTGCTCCCACCTGTCTCCAGCAAAAGGAGAGGAGGCCTCCCCGATACTTTACATCCTCTAGGCTGGAGTCAGGCTGGGTGGGAAGTCCTTACTGTGTCTTGGGCCTCTGTTGCTGCAGTGCCCTTCTCGCTGGGCATGAGGCTCTGGACACCCACACCCTGGAAATTTCACCCAGCTAGACTTAATAATGAAAGGCTTAGTAGCCAGGACCTGAATGGAAGTGGAGAAAGAAAATGGGGTGCCATGATTTCTGCTTAGGGCACCCAAAGCCCCCAGAGCCCTCTTTGGGCAGCGGCTAAGTCTGTGCTGCCAGGGTTTAATCAGGCAGGAGGAACTGAGGTGGCATCTGGATGACCTTCTGGAATGCAAGCAGGGTGGTGACAAAGTTGGGGCCAGGGACCACAAAGCCTCTTTCCCTGGCCTTTCCGGAAAGAAACCTCTACGTGCTCCCTTACTTTGGAGCGCCCAGGAGTTGTGGAAAAGACCTTGAAACAGTGTGGCTCTCTAGCCTTGTCCCAAATCCCTTCCTTTCCAGAAGATCCTGGTGTGGCTGGCCTGTGTGACTGCCCCTCTAGAGTCGAGACAATGAGGAGCCTCCCCCATCCAGATACCACCTGCCTCTGCCTGGTCTTAGGAACCAGGGTGGAGGCAGGAACGAAACATGCTCAGCAAACAACACGTCTGTGCACTCGGGGTTCCTACCAAGTAACCAGCACCCAAGTAGAGGCAGGGACCTTGCACGTGTTACGTCCACACTTAGTACACCTGCAGTCCCACTGTGCTCTGGGACTCTCTGACCCCAACTGTGTCTTCCTAACTTTGTGATACATATGTTTTTAACTGGATTCGTAGAATATCAACACATGCCCAGTCCTTACGATTTTCTACTGGTAATAAAAATAAGCTCACACAACATCCATATTCCTTCTTATTACGTTCAGTGCATTAACACAGGTAATCCCCACAACCCATGAGGTTGGTTCTGTTAACAGCTGGGAGAGGAAACGGGTGCAAAGGGGTCAAGTAACTTGACCATGACCACGAAGCCACAAGTACTAGAGCTGCTACCAGAACCAGGAAATCAGGTTCCAGACCCATGCTCTTCAGGCCGAGCTGGCCGTCTGGCCGTCTACACTGCACGCTGTGTCCCCTGCGGAGCCTCAGCACCCACAGTGCACAGCGGTGGTCCCCTTATCGCTGGGTTGAGCTCCAAGACACCCGGGGGACGCCTGAATCCACAGGTACTGCCAAACCCTGTGTACACTATGTTTGTTCCCGTACACGCATATCTATAACCAAGTTTGATTTATGAACAGGGCATAGTGAGAGATTAACAGGGACAACTGGTCGTGAAATAGAACGACGTAACAGTACACTGTAACTAAAGCTAGGTGACTGGGGCCAGCTTCTCTCGCTCAGAGTATGTACTGTACTCACCCATTTTCGGACCGCGGTTGACCACAGGGCCCTGAAACCCCGGACAGGGAACCCAGGGATGGGGATGTGTGTGGGGTGCTGTGGTGCGAGGCTCTCGGATGTGCCACCTGGAGCCGCCCCTGTGACAGTGCGCGCTGGGGTCGCGCACAGTGAAGCCCACCCTCTGGACCGGGCCGCCCTCTGCGCCGAGGATGTCATCTTCTCGTGCACGCGCAGCGTCTTCCTCTGCTCCCGCTCCTGGGGGGTCAGGCCGGGTCGGGCGGGGCCGGGTCCCCTCCCCCTGCTCGCCCCTGGGGACTCCGCGGAGGATGCGACGGGCAGGGTCACGCGGCAGAGCGCTCGGTGCTCCGCGGAGACGATGCGTCATTTTATCTGAAAGTCACACCTGAGTGCCCTGTATTCTGATTCGGGAAACACGACAAACGGAGGTGGGGGAAACTAGATCTGCTGAGTTTCCAGAAGAAACTCGAGGTCCGGAGTCTGATCTGCAAGTGCTGCTGTGTCGGCCGCCTGGGGCCGCTGGTGTCCCCAATGCCACCTCTTCCCCACCCTGCTTCTGCCCCCTGCGCTGGGGGGGTCCCCGTCACTGCCCAGCCCTCCTCAGGAGGGGGTCCCCGGACGGCAAAGGGGGGGGCTCCACCCCCTCCACCCCAGCCCCCCACCCTGAATCAAGGGCAGATCCTGCTGTCCAGATTCTGAGGCTGGGACATCCCCTGCCAGTCCCCACCCCTCCTGCCCCTCTGTATTGGCCCTTCACATAAGTCTCATTTGGATTCTCTGGGACACTTCTATTTCCTGCTGGGCCCTGTCAGGTGCAACCAATGACTCAACATCTGAGAACCCTGCAGGAGGCAGCCCCAGGCCACCAGTTTGCATCTCCTGTGTGACATGAGTCAGAAAACGTCACCAACTAGAATCCCAGAGGCAGGTCTGTCTTTAGAACACAACAGGTAGGTGCTTGCATCAGAGTGAAGTTGCATCAGAGTGAGGTTGGGGGGACTGTGGTGGGGTGGGGGAGGGCGTGAGGTTGGGGGGACTGAGGTGGGATTCTGCTCTGAGGAATCTCAGAGATGCTGAGCTCTTATGCTGAGTCCTCAGTGAGGTGAGACAGCGGCTGCTTGGTCAGCCAGGAAAGAGGCTGGGGTGGCTCTGCCTTGCACTGTTGGTGCCTGTGCTTGCTCAGGCTGTGCTGGGGGCTGTGGGGACGAGTGGGCTGTCCTCACCTCTGGGCATGGCTCTCAGGGTGGGAAAGCAAGAGGGACCGTGCTGGGGTGCAGACAAGCAAGTCCATGGTGTTGGCGCGGCCCCGGACTCCCAGGCCCTGCCAAGGGGCAGGTGTGTGCATGCCCGTGTGCCCGTGTGCACCTCTGTGTGCATATCTGACCTCCAGGGTTCCAACGAGAGGGGACCACAAAAAGCCGGAGTGGTCAAGGGGTTCCCTGAGGGAAAGGAGAGGACCCATGAGGTCTGAGATGGGCCTTGAGGGACAAGGAGAATATTGGCAGATGGCATTTCATGCAGGGACAGTGGAAGTGGCAGTGTGGTGGCCAAGGCTGCGGCCACAACAGCCCTAGGAGCCCACCTGACCAACGCCCAGGAACTGTGGTGAGGGGTCTGGGTATGATGCGTGGGGCAGGTCAGAGACAGGCAGGGTTTTCCTGTTGATTTTCTAGGCAGTGGTGAGCCGGCGAGTACTCTGGAGTGAGAGTGTCCCGAAGAAAGTGCGCTTCTGAGAAGAGCAGCAGGGCCACTGTCTGCTGCGAGAGGGAGTGCTGGGGCAGGGAGGCTGCGTGGAGGGGCTGGACTCTGTCCAGAATACTCACTGAGAGAGCCTCATTCCGCTCCTGATCTCCAAGCAAGAAGAAATCCACATCCCCAGATAGGTGGAAAGGATTAGCTGAAGGCTTGGGACTGATCACAGACCCTGGAGAGGGAGACACTTTGTTGCAGAGAGGAGCCAGCTCTCCCAGGGGGAGGGCTAGTGCCCTCCTAGGCCAACACGTGACAGCACAAGTGAGTGGCAAATGTGCTCTTGGATCCAGCCATGTCTGAAGTCCACCCTGGACATTCTGGCTCCATAAAGTCACCTCTGTGGATCAACCTAGTTTGAGTTGGGCTTCTGTACCTGGCAAGTAAAAGAGACCTCATGAACACAGCCCCTCCTGTGTCTGAAGCATCGGCCCTCTGTCATCTCTCAGTTAAAGTCTCAGGAAGCTCCCCTTCACAGAGGAGGAGGCCAGAGCCTGCCGTCTGTCAGTGATGGAGCACAGGGACACTGAGCAGTGCCCTTTGCTGCACGTGCTGGGCATTCTAGGGGAAGGCTGGGCTGGGGGCAGGCCAATGCAATGTGCTGGAGGCCAGGGGAGGAGGCAGGAATCCAGGAGGGACCAGAGGTGGGGAGAGGGGCTCATGCAGGTTTCCCACTCTTAATGTCCATGACTTTCTTTAGTTCAAAGAGAGAGATTCTAGAACAGATGCCAAAGGGCCTGTGTGAGCCTGCAGTGGCCAGGAAGTCAGATGGAGAGGCCCACTGAGCCTCCCCCACCATGCCAGCCCCAGCCCCCAGATGTGTTACAAAATAAATGTAAACACCTAGGACAGCTCTGGAAAACAAGAAGGGTGACTCTGGAGTAGCAGCAGTTGCTAGAGAGCTCTGGGAGGGGAGGCAGGGGGATGGGTCAGGGAGGGTGTGGTCCGCCACAGCTGGAGACAGGAGGGCACGGAGGTGGGGGTGACAGCTGGAGAGGGGACCCCCGAGGCCGGGCCGTCCCCCTGCTCCTGGACAGCAACCCAGGGCAGAGGCCTTGGCCCTAAGTTTAGAACAGTGGGGACTGGTGCCTGGGTCAGAGGGGTGGGGAAATAAGAGTCTTCATGTTCCCAAACTGGCCACTAGCCCACATGGGCTGCACATCGCAGGCCTGTCACACAAACAAATCGATAGCTCGCAAGCACTGAGCACTTACTACGGGCCAGACCAGGGATTTTACATGACTTACTGTTCATAACACGCTAGGAATGAGGATGATTGTCATCCCCATTTTACTAGCAGGGAAACTGAGTCACAGAGTGGTAAGAAACTCTCCCAAGGTCCCACAGCTATTAAGTAGCTGTGAGAAGACAGGCTTCAGAAAACAAATGGTATTCACAGCCAGGGAGTTAACACTAATGTGAAGACTAGCCCAGACCAAGAATGACAATCATTTGAAGGAAATCGTTCCAAATGCAATGTTGGCTGACCATTTATAAACTGATCCACGTAACGCATCCCATTAACAGAATGAAGGAGAAAATTATGTAGTCACTTCAATAGATGCAATAAGAATATCTGATAAAATTCAAAACTTATATTTGACTTAAACTGGTAGCAACTGAGGAATACCAGGGAACCTCCCCAGTCTGATAAAGAGCATTGTGGGGCTGAGCAATGGCCCCGGGCTGTGAATATATTACCTCACTGGTGAAGGGGACTGTGCCTGCCCCTGTGCCTGGAGAGATTGTTCTGGATTACTCGGGTGGGCCCAGCCTAGTCACAGGGGTCCCTCAGCAGGGAGGCAGGAGGGTCACAGAGAGCAGAGATGAGTTGAGGAAGCAGAGGCTGCAGGGGTGTGGGGTGAATTTGTGGACGCTGCCATGTGGACCCTGGAGGAGGAAGGCAGAGGCCGGGAGCCTGACCCTCCCGTGCAGCATCTAGAGAGAACGCAGCTCTGCCAACACCTCGATTTTAGTCCTGAAGACCCATTTTGGACATGTGACCTACAGAGCTGTAAGATGATGCATTCATGGTCTTTTAAGCCACTGAGTCTGTGGTGATTTTCTACAGCAGCAATAGGAAACAAATGCTTGTATCTACGAGAAGGCTACAGGTGAAATATTGATTGTTTCCCGCCAGGATCAGATCAGGAGAAGGCGGGGATGTCTGCTTAACGTTTCTGTTCAACGTTGTAATGAGGGGAAATGAAAGAAAAAGAAATAAAAGGGATAAGGATCTCAAAGGAAGAAAAATAATGTCATCCAAGGTGACATGATTGTACAATAGAAGACCCAAAAGAATCTACGACAAAATGGTTATGATTAGGTCTATCAGACGTGATTTGTGGATCTTACTGTGAAATTAAAACAAATCTGTAGAAGATACAATGAAAGGATAAGTTCATGACCTTGGAAGTCAGCAAAGAGTTTCAAAACAGGACCAAAAAGCAATAACCATAAGGAAATGAATGAACAACATTAAAATTAGGAACTTTTGTTCATTAAAAGGCACCCTCAGAGAGTAAAGGGCAGGCCCAGCAGTGGGAGGAGATATTTGCAGGACTTAGAACTGGCAAAAAACTTGAACACAGTGAAGAGCTCCTAAAAATCATTAAAATGAAAAGACGACCCAACAGAAGAGTGGGCAGAAGACAGGAACAGACACTTCACAACACAGACTCATCGAATGGCCCATGAACACATGCAAAGGTAATCACCCTCCTTGGTGACCTGGGAATAGAAGATACTAACACATATGCAAAGGACTAGGTAACGTTAAAAGGCGTGACAATGTTTCAAGTGTTGGCAAAGACATGGCGCAACCGGACTCTTATGCCTATTGTGGGACTGTGAATTTGTACATTTGCCCTGGAAAACTGTTCATTTATCTACTAAAGTTAAACACACAATGAGCAATTCCACCCCTGGGTGTACACCCAGGAGAAGTGAGTGCTTATGTCCCCAAAATGACATGCACAAGAATGTTCATAGCAGTATTCTGTTAACAGATGCAAACTGGAGACAACCCGAATTCTCATCAACTACAGAAAGAATAAATAGATTGTTGACATCTGCACGCAAAATGACATGCACAAGAATGTTCATAGCAGTATTCTGTTAACAGATGCAAACTGGAGACAATCCGAATTCTCATCAACTACAGAAAGAATAAATAGATTGTTGACATCTGCACGTGACAGAATATACACAGCAACAAGAAAGAAGGGACTGCAGCCAGGTGCAACAGTGTGGATACATCTCACAGACAATGTTCAGTGACAGAGGCCAGAGCCAAAAGAGCAGAGAGTGTGTGACTCCACTTACAGGAGGCAGCTGTCTCTAGGGAGATGGAAACTTCTAGATCTTCATGGGGTGGAGGTCGCACAGTGGTATGTATTTGTCAAAACTTACCAAAGTGTATACTTAAGATCCGTGCACTTCACTGTATATGAATCATGCCCCGGTGAAGAAACCAAACCAGACCCAAACTTGTCCCCTTAGCCTAACAGCCGATGCAGGTGTCGCTGGGGAGGAGAGAGTACTGTTGTGAGCGGCTGTCATGAACGTCTGTGGCGGAGGGTCAGGCGTGTGCCACCTGAAACCACCAGTCCACGGCAGCATCGCCTCAGCCCACCCAGGAGGCGCACTGGTGACAGAGCGGAACAGACAGACACACAGAGACAGCCGCGCTCTGCAGGAGGAACCAGAGGCGGGGAGCGCGAGAGGCGGGCAGCGCCCGGGGCTGCAGAGAGACCAGAGCTGTTCGGTTCTCAGCGGAAGCCCGAGCAGGGCACAGCTTCTATAGGAGACACTCCCGAGATGACAGCGTGAATGTGGGGACGAGCTGGCCCACTGTCAGGCGTGAGGACAGCACCGTGGCCTGGGAAGGAAACGTCCCTACTGAAAAGTGCACACTGAGGTACACAGGGACGAAAGGACAAGCTGGATTTTACTTTAAGATATCCTGGCAAAGACAAACAAAAGAGAAAAAGAAAAAGAAAAAGGAAAAGGACAGATGAAGTAAATGTAAAATCTTGTCACGGTCGAATCTGGTGATGGGCCTGTGAGGCTCACTGGCTTTAGTCACCACTTCTGGGCAGGTTGGACTTTTTATAATTATAAAAAGGGAGGAGACAGGGTAGGGGGAGGGTCGGGATGGGCCCAGCTGGTGAAGAACAGACTTGGACAACAGCTGAGAGGTGCCAACCACTGCAGAGGGACCAGACGGCCTGTAAGTCTGGGGACAGAGCCGGAGATAGGACGAGTCCAGGGCGGCCACGTGTGGAGCCACACTGCAGGGGCCAAGAGTGTGTGGCACACGCGGCCGGCTGCCTGTGCTTCTTCCCTGACAGGTGGCATCAGTGTGCCTGGCTCAAAGCCTCCTTGTAGATACTGATGGGCACATGACGGATCTTGGCCCGTCAAACGTGGGCAGAAACTGCTGCCTGGGCTTTCGGAAAGAGCCCTTTCCCAGGAGGGGTGAGTTGGCTGTGGGTAGTCTGGCCCTCCACTTTGCTCCTCTCCCTGACTGGACTCCGGGGTGACCAGGCTGGAGCTGCAGCAGCCACGTCGCAACCACAAGGTGACCTTGCAGTGAAAGCTCTAGGCTCTTCCTGGTGGAGCAGAAAGGCTTGGGACTTGCCCACACGGAGGATGTCACGGAGCTGCCGTTTGTGGAGTCTCGGGGAGCCCTGGGCTGCCTCCCACATTTCCCACGACTGGAGGGAAAATAAATCCTGCTTTGTTTATGTTTTTGGTATTTCAGTTCTCCAGAACCCAATTCCTAACAGAAACAGAAGCATCTCCCTCTGCCCTTAGCGCTAGAGACCAGGCCGGAGGGCATCGAGGGGCAGAGGGAGAGGGTCCATCTCCTACCAACTCGGACTTCAGCTCCCAGCCCGAGGGTTACCTCTGTCTTTCTTTGCTGGTTTCTCCAGCCTTTCTTCAGTGATCGAAGAACTGTTGTTCATGGATTCCAGACTGTTCTCTGGGGAGACACAAAAGTGAAGGCCACAGCAGTGACTCACCTGGCCTGTGAGAGCTGTGGACACAGCACGGCGGGCACACTCCAGCCTCAGCCTCCTCCCCTGCCTGCTGAGCAGGCTGGTGAGTCACTCGGCATCTCCGAGCCTCAGTTTCCACATCTGAGCTGACCGTATGACTTTGTGGAGCACATTGAGGACTGCGGAAGCAGCCCTGCAAGTCCCTCACACACACAGCTAGTGTCCTGTGCATCCCTTTTGCATCCTTCAGTTTGTTCCCTAAGAGCAGCGTTTTACAGATGAACACACCGAGACTCAGGGGCCAGAGACCCCAAGCCTTCTGACTCCCTGCTCAGCCAGGGCCTTTGCCTCCCGGGGCATCCCTCAGGGCTCCCGCCCCTCCCCTGTGAGAAGTGGCTCTGCCACTCCTGGCCCTTCTGACCAGTCTGGGAAGTCAGAGGTAGGCTGGCCCAGCAGCCAGGGTCCCCTTTCCTCTCCAGAGGCCACAAGTCTCTCACCCCAGATGGGATCCTCAATACTGCCTTTCTTTAGGTGACATGTCAACACGGGGTCCCCACTGCCTTGTTGTTTTCTTCAACTGATACCCCCAGGGAGGGAGACGTGTGGCCTGACCCTTCCTCCAACCCAACCCAGGAACCATTTGGAGCTTGGAGACCCCGGCCCATGCCAGCAAGGTGGGGTTGCCAGGGTGCCTGGAGGTGTCCTCTGGTGGGCTGCTCAGGGAGCTGGTCCTCTTGGGGCAGGAAGAGGGAGGGTGAACATGGTGCTAGAGTGACCTGGGACCATAACCATGGAAAGGGAAGGCAGGGTCTGGGGGGTAGGGATGTCCTGAGCAGATGGGTGATGTGGCGACAGAGGAGCGAGGTGGCTCTGAAGGCGCTCTGTGGGACAGGCTGGGGGGGTGGGCCTGGGGCTGGAACCCGAAAGTCTTCAGGGCCACACAGAACATGTAACGTACAGGGGGAGGAGGGACAGGCCGTAGGGAGCGGTGAGGCCTGTGGAGAACTCAGGAGTTCAAGCTGCCAAATTATTATTCTACCTATCGTTTTTAATGGGTATATGGTTCAATTTCCAAGTAGTAAAATCTGATTAACCTTATCATAGAAATCAAAAGATATCAGTTTTTCAAACAGACCCAAACCCAAACCAAACAAGCCAGAACCCTAAACAATGAACATTTCTTAATCAAAAAAACAATGCACATACAAAGCAAAAATGGCAAACAATGCAGGTTTGATGTGTCGATATGATGAAAAATCCTCACCTGAAGCCCTCGCTGCCTAACAGAGCCTTGTACACGTAGCCACAAGTATTTCACACGCACGCACTGTCACGTGCCCCTTCCCTTCTCACGCGTGACACGGGTAAGCCACGGGGACGATATGCTAAGTGCAGCCCGCCAGTCACTGCAGGACCGATGCTGTACGATTCCATTTACATGAGGTCCCCCGAGTAATCAACTTCAGGGAGACAGAAAGTAGAAGGGTGGGTGCCAGGGCTGGGGAGGAGAATGGGGAATGAGTGTGCGGGGGACAGTTCCAGTTTGGGAAGATGGAACGTTCTGAGCTGGACGGTGGCGGCGGGTGCACAGCGACGTGCACGTACTGACCGCCCTGGACGCACACTTACAAACGGTGAGCACGGTAAGTGCTATGTTACGTGTACTTCACCACAATTTAAAAATGTTTTCAGAAAAGTACATCTGCTCACGCTCAAGTCTCATGGGTACTTAGCCGAGGCCCTTAGCGGACGCTGAGGTTTTCTTCAGTCTTCTGCAATTTCTAAACTTTTGCGATGGCTACTGCCAATCATCAAGTTTGTCTGTACTCTCTCCACGCCCCAAGTCTCATGGGTACTTAGCCGAGGCCCTTAGCGGACGCTGAGGTTTTCTTCAGTCTTCTGTAATTTCTAAACTTTTGCGATGGCTACTGCCAATCATCAAGTTTGTCTGTACTCTCTCCACGCCCGGAACTTTTGTCACTCTGATAGGTGACAAATGGCATCCCAGTTTTCATTGACGTTTCTCAGTTGTGGAGGACACTATGTGTCGTTTCAGGTGTTACTGATCCTCCTGCTCCCCAGGCCTGTCTCCCTCTTCTGGCTCCCCAGACACCTCACCTGTGGCCAAGGCTTCAGCCTCCCCTGGAGGTCCCCGCGGGCACCTACACCCCACATGCCCCCTGCTGAGCTCCTGGTCTCCTCCTCCCGCAGACCCACTCTTCCTCTGGCCTCTGCCATCTCAGCCAACAGCCGATGTTGCCCAGGTGCTGAGCTGAGACAGGGGTCACCCCGAGCCCCTTCCCTCCCATTCCCACACCCTAGTCACCAAGGCTTGCCCCCACCTCTCAAGAAGCACTGACCCCACCCATGGCCCTCCCAACCCCCCGCCTCCCTCACATCAGCCACTGTCCCCTTAACTGGTTTTCTGTGATTGCCCTCCACGGGGCTTCCCTCGTCGAGTCCTGACCACCCCCATAGTGGCCTGGCAGGTCATTGTAAAACACAACTCACAAAACTGACCATGTGTGTGTATCCTCTGCTGGCCAACCTCTGAGATGCGCCTCCATGCGCTGGCCTTCTGGAACTCACGCCCTTCTGAGTCCCCTCTGGCACCGTGACTCCTTGGCTGGCCTGTGTGACCAGCTGCAGAGATGACAGTGTATGACTTCTGAAGCTTGGTTGTAGAAGATATTGTGGCTCTGCCTTGCCATCTCTCCTGGTATCACTGCTCTAGAGGAAGTTGACTGCCATACTGGAAGGACACTCAAGCAGCCCTATGACAGGTCTGTGCAGAGGGAAACTGAGGCCTCTAGCCAACCGCCATGTTAGTAAGCCTGCTCGGGAGCCAACCCTCCAGTACTGGCCACGTCTTCAGATGAGACACCCTGAGCAAAAACCACCAAGGCAAGCACTCATAAATTCCTGACCCACAGGAACTGTGACATAGACATGTTTATTGTTGTTTTAAGCCACTAAGTTTTGGGGTAATTTGTCATACAGCAACGGAGAACTGATATACCCTTGAGTGGAATCCCAGCACTTGCAGGAGCAGGACCCATGTCAGTGTGGTCTGGGATACCCTGTGTGATCTCACTCTATAACCTTTGCAGTTTTAAAAAATTATATTTTAAAATGTAAGTGTATAAATTTGTGGGGTACAGTGTGTTGTTTCAATACATGCGTATATTGTACAACGATTCACTTAGGGTAGAAAGCATATCCACTATCTAAACATTTATCTTTTCTTTGTGGTGATTACATTCAAGATCCTCTTTTCTAGCTGTTTAGAAATATGCCATACAATATTATTAGCACTAGTCAGCCTGGAACACCAGAACCTATTCATCCTCTCTGCCTGTGAATTTGTACCTGTTAATCTACCTCCTTCCTTCCCCCAATCCCCTTCCCTTTTTGGTGTCTGGTAACCACTATTCTGCTGTCTACTTCTATGAAAACCACTTATTTTTATTTACTTATTTGTTTATTTCTTTAAAAGATTACACATATAAATGAGATCATGCAGTACTTGTCTTTCTGTGCCTGGCTCACTTCACTTAACATAATGGTCTCCAGTTCCATCCACATTGCTGCAAATGACAGGATTTCATTTTTTTTTTTTTTTTTTTGTAGCTAAATAGTCTTTCATTGTGCATATATACCACAGTTTTTTAAATCCATTCATCTGCTGACAAACGTTTAGGTCGATTCCATCTCTTGGCTATTGTGAATAGTGCTGCAGTGAACATGGGCGTGCAGGTGTCTGTTAGATACATTGATTTCATTCCCTTGGGTACATACCCAGTGGTGAGATCGCCGGGTTATAAAATAATCCTATTTTAGGTTTTTGAAGAACTTCCATACTGTTTTCCATAATGGTTGTATTAATTTACATTCCCACCAACAATGTATGAGACTTCTCTTTTCTCCCCTTCTTAGCAGCATTTGTTATGTTCTGTCTTTTTGATAATAGCCATTCTAATTGGAGTGAGATGATATCTCACTGTGGCTTAGTTTGCATTTCCCTGATGCTTAGTGATATTGAGCATTTTTTTTCATGTGCCCATCCATATGTCATCTTTTTTTGTTGTTTCTTTTTTGGGGAGTGGGTGGCCAGCACAGGGATCTAACACCCATGACTGTGGTGTTATAAGGCTTGCATCTCTTTTTTTGGAAATGTTTATTCAGGTCCTTTGCCTTTTTTTAAATTGGGTTATTTGCTTTTTTGCTGTTGAGTTTTTTGAGTTCCTTATATATTCTCAATATCAGCTCCTTGTTAGATGTGTAGTTTGCAAACATTTTCTCCCATTCTGTAGGTTGTCTCTTCACTTTGTTGATTGTGTCCTTTGCTGTGCAGAAACTTTTTAGTTTGATGTAGTCCCATTTGTCTATTTTTGCTTTAGTTGCCTGTGCCTTTGTAGTCTTGTTCAAAAAAGCACTGCCTAGTCCAACTACACGTAGTGTTTCCTCTGTTTTCTTCTAGTAGTTTCACAGCTTTGTATCTTAAATTTAGGTCTTTAATCCATTTTGAGCCGATTTTTGTGTATGGTGAGACATAGGGTCCAGTTTCAGTCTTCTGCATGTGGATATCCAGTTTTCCCAGCACCATTTATTGAAGAGGCTGTCCTTTCCCCAAAGCATATTCTTGGAACCTTTGTCAAAAATCATTGGCTGTAAATGCATGCATTTATTCTTGTGCTCTCTATGCTGTTCCACTGGTCAATTTGTCTGTTTTTATGCCAGCACCATGCTGTTTGGGTTACTATAGCTTTGTAGTATATTCTGAAGTCAGGAAGTGTGATGCCTCTAGCTTTGCTCTTTTTTTGTTCAAGTTTGCTTTGGCTATATGGGGTCTTTTGTGGTTCCTTATAAATTTCAAGATTGTTTTTTCTATTTCTGTGAAGAATGTCATTGGTATTTTAATAGGAATTGAGTTGAATCTGTAGATCGCTTTGGGTAATATGGACAATTTGATGATATTAATTCT